ATATAGGGCCTAAATAAATAAATAAAATATAAAATATATGGCCTATTGCCAGTTGGAATAGTTTCTGTTAATTTCAATAAACAATTTTTTCAAGTGTATTTCATTCTGAATTTTAATTCATGTTTATATTATACAACCCGAATTTTAACATTTAAATCATGTTTTCTGTATAACTGTATATCTGGAGATAAGATTTTTCTGTCTGAGTTCAAAACATAATATAATAAGATGAAATGTAATAAACAAAGTACAATATAGGCCAAATTGATATTTTGAGAACGAAACACTAAAATTGATAACAAGAAAGTTAGCAAATCGAGATTTGTAGGCCCTTATACTGTACTACAGGACTAGATTATTGTTCAAATCCAACGGTGAAAATTGTCCTCGAATCTCGCCAGGTAATTTTAATGGGGAAACCAGACAGGAAGTGAGAAATCTTAACATATCGCAGTCGCAAAGAAAAATTCAACATGACGTAACATGCATGTGACGACGTTAGAAGAGGCTTTGCCGTTCGAGCTTGAAAAATTCAACTTATCGTAAGAATCGTAACCGGCTTATTTTGTCTGCGGCCCAGCACGATCAAGATGCGGCTGTTTTTGTCCAACTTCTCGTAACAGTCGTAAGAATCGTATGAATCGTAAGAAACTCTGAACTTTACGTCGACAGGAAACCAGGCTTAACTGGCCATGCGTAAAATGAAGACGACGACATTGGCCTGAAAACTCCATTGTTACGATACGAGCCAGAGAGATAAACAGGGCTCCGGGACTGAAGCCGAATACTGACTGAGTAGTGAGTGCAGTGGTTGAGTAATAAAAATGTTATTATCACTACTAGGCGACTACGTACGACTGACACTAAATCGATAACAATAAGAATGTCGGAATGGCTAGAATAAACAATGTCGATAATGACCCTGAAAAGGCTTAAAGTTCATCTAATAATGACATATTATTTTAGTTACTTTTAAAATGCCATAAAACAATGAAGAATTTTAAAATAGACCCCTTGCATTGGCCTTTCTGAAACTTTGGCGGGGATGTCAACTGGAGTTAAATAGAGTTCCTATAGGAATTCTAGAGGCAAAAGACTTTGCGGTATCGAAGAAATGCATGTAAAACAGAGATATTGTAGTATTTGTCAATCAGTGAAGAAATGTGTTTAGTAGAGAAATGAATATCTTGATCAATAATTTGTTTAAGATTAAACGAATTATTAATTAAATCTATGTACTTCTAAGCAGACTGGAATTGTGTTGGTTGAAGTCATTATTAAAATCACAGAGGATAAAAGTTTCACAGTCCGATCTTAGATCTTTTGTCATGAAAAGTAGAAATGCTTATTTTTTTGGTCAGTCCAAACAATAGCCAGCTCTTAATAAAATATGCCCTCTGAGAACATATAAAAATAAAAATACAAAAACCCAAAGATTTATTGTAAAAATCGGAAGGACCCCTACTCAAAAAACCAATCCATCAGTGGTACACATCTTAGTTGACATAGTCAATTTGCATGCGCGAAGTGTCCCAGCTTCTTCAGGGCCCCTCACAACCTAGTTACGCCACTGAATTCAGAGGCAAATATTTGTAGTATTCAAAATCGCAATCATTGTAAACAAAAATAAATGGGCTCACAATTAAGAATTAAACCTTTAGTACAGTACTACAGTACTATAATAATACTTTCTGGCAATTGGACCAACAAGAACACTATGTACTCCACTGCACATGCTACTGTATTTACAAGTACCATCTTGATGTAAATGTAGAACTTTAAAGTCTGAAGATGTGAAACATAACAATAAAAATGAAAATTGTTGTCTGTAATATTACAGAACACTCAATCATAAATTAAAAAATAAATTGTGAAATGTTTAAGCAGAATCATTGTAAATATGTATTAATGGGATATAAGGGGAATAATCGATGGATTTCAGAAAGCATCTTGTCCAGAGATCCATATCAATACTTCCCAGGAGTTAACAGATGCTGCCATAATGTTGTCCAAACATCATCTGTGCACAAATCAAAAAAGGAGCTGTACATTCAAGATGGATGTTCCCGTTTGATTCCAGGTAGTTTGAAAATATCAGTAAAAAAAAAGTATGAAGTGCACATTAATGGCTTTTTGCAGGAGCTTAAAGTAACAACAATTCTATGAATACTGTACTGTATGTTGTAGAGAATAATGAAAGTGCTGACATTTAGCCAAAGATAAGACCTTTTGTATGAATGAGAAGGGAAATTTATAAATTTAAATGGCATGTCATTGCTACATTTTAGGAGTTAGCCTATTAAAAAAATTTGAATTCTGAATGAAACAGGCTACATGTATTTTATAATGAGTTTTTAATGGCATTAGGACCAACGATTATAAATCTAATGATGTTCAATTACATGCTTTTTAAGTATTTTTTCACTGATGTTTTTACAACTGAAAAACTTTTAAAAATTATTTTGAACATTTTAAATTTCTTTTGAAACATGATGGGAAGAATGTCATGTGACCCATTTGTCACAGTGACTGATTGGCTATTTTTGGAAATATTTTTTTATATAACATTGAATATATCTTTTACTACTGTAACTGTGTATGTACCAATTATTGATTTTTTTTATACCATTTTAGAATGAACTCACTTGAGAACAGATAGCTTAAATTGCAAAATCCACTTTTTCTGGAAGTTGATGTCCATTTTCACCCTGTCTGTCATGCCAACATTGAATTTCCACCATGTACTCCTTCAGCCACTATTTCAATGGGTGTTTTTTTCTATCGAATTATGACATATGACCTATAAATTAATAACATTTTTGGGCTATGTCATACACTTATTTTTCTACAGACTTATATATATTGTGTATAAACTGTCCCGTCTGTCATGCTTGAGATAGCCTACATTATGTGATTTGGGATGCACTGAGATTTTGATATATGGAGCCTAGTAACCTTGTTTATTTGCACCTTATGTATTACAATATTATGTTTTGTTGTTTTTTCCAAATTTTAAGAATTACTAATCAAACTATACCAAAACAAAATGGATAAGTAGAAAATGTCTATATGTACTGTAAACTGTATGGCCGGACAAACTGTAGTACAAGTTACCAAAGCATTAGTTATTGTACCATATTCTCGTCAAGTCAAGATGGTAAATTATTAGGGTATTACATTTTTTGTTACATAATCAAACATACCCGCAGTAGTTAACCTATAACCCTGGTTCTTAATTAATTTGTACGAAAGGCCAAATTATTTTTAGAGTTGATCTGACAGGCCAAAGATAATCTCAGCCGAATTGAAAGCAATCGTTATACATCAGGTAAATCTGTTTCCGCTAAGATAGGTCTATTTGAAAGTATGCTAAATACTGTACGACTTAAAATGAAGGCTATTGACGAAACACAATGATCAGAACAAAACACAGAGACAGAACTTGGCAGCATTGTGTCCTATACTGTATTGATATGTATTTTTATAAGCACTGTTCTTGGGTTCACTAGCTGTCTATTATCATGTAAAATATGTACGCTTACAATTGAAGATAAAACCCCATAACCGTTTTACCTCTATGATTTATAACAATGGGGTTCTTCTACCATGGGTCATGTATCAGGCATTAGGACTCTGCAATCCTTAAAATTTTAATATGTCTATGATAAAGTTTTTACTTCCTCTGGGCTATTATGTTAAATTTAGCCAAGCTAATAAGAATTAATACCAACCTTGGGAGCGTTTTGACTTTTTTTTTATATACCTTAAAACCTGGAATTGAAGCCCTGGGCTTTGGATATGCTTCTTTTCAAGATGGACTACTTTTCGAGATGGGCATTTTTTTAGACTGCTTTTGCAAAATAAATAGAGGGGCTTCTTTTCAAATTTGGAAGGGGGAGAAATGAGGCCACAACATATTCAGGATAGATAAGTCAGGGCGCTAATTTTAAGGGTATTGCTAAACCCTGCACACCCCTCAAACCTAAAAAAAAAATACCGCAAACCCCATCCTAACTTTGTGATAATGATTGAATCACATAGTATAGGACTCAATTTGGTATCTAAAAAAAAAAAATCATAATTTTATGTTCATCACAACCTATTTTTGGGGTAAAATGCCATTTTTTGTGTAAAAACCCTCCAAACTCCCAAAAACACAGTGCAAACCCCATCCAAACCCTGTGATAGTGGTTGAATCACATAGTATAGGACTCAACTTGGTACCTTAGTCAATAAAAATATAATTTTGTCCATAATAACCTATTTGCTGCGAAGCAGCCAATTCATATTCTTGACAGCGATTTGACCTCTGAAAGGTCATTGTTTGTCAAAAAACAATCGCCTAAGACAACTGAAAAGCAGAGTTTCCTTCTTTCGCTCTGCCGGGTAAAATCAATTACTTTAGGCGACGTTTGTAGACTAACCTACTCGTACCAACGTCGGCATGTCGCGACGCTGGAGTACTATTCAGCGTTTTTACTATATTTTTAGGTTTCCTATTTCTATGTTTAATCGGCTCATGTCTCAGCCACAATATTTTGAGGCCAATATTATTTACGAACCCAGTTAAACTTATTTACTAGCCTATCAACGTGCTAATTATTACATTTAGGCGACGCTTGTTGTAGACTGGCATAGTGTTTTTGGAAATAAATACCATTTTATACACATGCGCAGATCGATTCGCCAGCAGCGAGTCATCGCCAGCAGCAGCGAGTCGACAGCAGAGAGATGTCACTGCAGCAAAACACTATTGTACACTGTACCAACGCTGTTCTAATATAGACAAAGGGTCGTGCTCATATTATTTGTTATATTTTTATTATTCATTATTTTCACTTGACTCGCATAAATAATTTTGTTCGAAGAACATTTTATGCAGTTGTACTTCGCAGCACTTCACTTGCAATTTGCAATTTCTAGTTTGGGGTATAATCTTAATTTTTTGTTAAAAATGCCTAAAAATACACAGCAAACCTCCAAAAACACAGTGCAAACCCCATCCAAACCCTGTGATAGTGGTTGAATCACATAGTATAGGACTCAACTTAGTACCTTAGTCAATAAAATATAATTTTATGTCCATAACAACCTATTTTGGGGTATAATCTTAATTTTTTGTTAAAAATGCCTAAAAAAACACAGCAAACCTCCAAAAACACAGTGTAAACCCCATCCAAACCCTGTGATAGTGATTGAATCACATAGTATAGGACTCAACTTGGTACCTTAGTCAATAAAAATAAAATTTTATGTCCATAACAACCTATTTTGTGATAAAATCTTCATTTTTTGTTAAAATACCTTAGAAAACACAGTGCAAACCCCATCCAAACCTTGTGATAGTGATTCAATCATGTAGTACAGTATAGGACTCACCTTGTATCTCAGATAAAAAAAAAATTATAATGTTCCATTCGTAACTAACAACCTACTTTTTGGGTAAAAATGCCATTTTTTGTATAAATATTCACATATGCCTTGAAATTTTAAAATTTTGTGGCAAGACAGGGGGCATGGGGACATGTGCCCCCTTGTCCCCCTATTGGATCAGCCCCTGTATAACACATCAATTATTTGTAGAGTTGTTTGTGTTAAAACACAGAACCAAAAATCATTCTTTTCATGTCTTTAGTATATTAACATCAGTTACCATTTTTCTGAGTAGTCCAGTGCATACAAAAGTTGATATACTGTATTTTACTGTATTATACTGTACTGTGGTAATATGAGATATTATTTATAAAATTAAAAATTATAATTAAAGAAAATAAAAGTTATAGAAATAAAATTTATAATTCATACCAGCATCCAAACTAGGGTTCAATCTAATTTCTGTTATTGTTATTATTATTATTATTATTATTATTATTATTATTATTATTATTATTGTTATTATTGTTATTATTATTATTGTTATTATTATTATTATTATTATTATTATTATAAATTACCATTCACATTTTAATAAGGCATTTTTATAAATTTCTATTAAAAATATTTTTTAAAGGGTTTTTGAGCAAAACAATTTTTATAAATGTATTTTAATTTTATTTTTAATGTGCAATAAATTATTAAAGGGTTTTTGAGCAAAACAATTTTTTCTTTTAACAGAAAATAAAGTTTTATCTAATTTTGATAATGATATTGTTTTGATTTGATGTTTATTTCAATTCTCTTCATTATAATATTTATATTATAATAATTACAACAAAATTCTCCATTTTTTATGTATATTAATATTTTTATAAATCTGATTATGTATTGTAGAATTGTATTGTATCATATATTTTTTATTTTATTTTTATCATAATGTATTTTAATGTGTATTTTAATGTGCAATAAATTTTTTAATGGTTTTTGAGCAAAACAATTTCTTCTTTTAACAGAAAATAAAGTTTTATCTAATTTTGATAATAATATCGTTTTCATTTAATGTTTATTTCAATTCTCTTCATTATAAAAGTTACTGGTATTTGCCTACAAACTTTTCTTACAAAAACATTTTTTATTTTAAAATATTACTAATATTTTTTTACTTCTGAATTTTCACAGCTGAAACCACAGTGTATAAAGTACCACACCTAGTAAAAGTTTATCAAAAAGAAAATCAATATGGCAGAGGAAACTAAAAAGGGTAAGTTAACATTGTTTTATAAGCATTAAAGAATAAATTCTGGTTACATTCATCATGTATCATTATTCATATGCTGTGCTGTACCTATTTGGAATCTTTTATTTACTGACAAAAAAAGTTGTGTTTAGTAAATAATTGTTTGACAAAAACGTTTTCAAAGGTTCCTGTACTCAGAGTGAACCAGTATTAGGCCTAAAAAATAAATTTTTTGTTTGCCCTTTAATGCTGAAAATTGTGTAGGAGGGACGGGTGCAAAATGATATTTTTTTTTCCTTCTGCCAACAACGGTAACATATTAAATCGCCATGCTTGCAATTAAGCCTTTCTCTATTTGTTTTTTAAAGGATATTCGTCAGACTAAATAAAATAGCCCATAATCAATATTTCGCAATGAATTTAGGCCATTTAGACCTAGAATGGCGATATCTTTAACATCAGACACCAAATCTACACAACTTTCATGTGCAAAATGGAGGAAAATAAGAATCAAGTTTTTACAATTTGTGAACAAAAAATCGAAAAAAAAAAAACTTTTTTAAAAACGCTGCCCTATTTTTCCATGAGCTAGGGGTGGGCACTGGAGGGCAAACAAACAGTTGTTTTTTTTTTAGGCCTTATTGTGTTGGGCTTTTCCCATGTCTACCTTTAGACTGTCTTCTGGAAATTTCAACCATTATATATTTAATATAGTTTTATCAAATTTATTTTGAATGGGATGTCACCTATAGAATATTGCTGCATTAACATAACATAACTTTAAGATGTTGTCTACTTTGTGTATTGTTATGTTGCTCTTATATGTATATTTTCCATAGAAATCACTGACGTTGTTTTTACAAACATTAAGATGGAAGTATCAAGGTGGTATGATGATCAAAACGCAATCAACATGCTGAAATTGTTGTATAGAGACCATGTGCCTAACTTGTTTAAGTTGCACAATTTTTGTAATACGATGGACTTACTGAATGAATTAATTACTTCTGGCGCTCTAAGTTCTTCTGATCCAACTATCATTTATGATACCATAAAAGCAACTTGTCAGTTTGGTTTGGAAACTAATATAAAACGTCAAATACCATCATGCCCAAATATCAGAGAAGTTGAAGTTTCTAAATTTACACCGTATAGACAAAAACTATTAAAGCTGGGAATGTCAATAAGTCCAGAAGATGTAAGGAAAATCAATGCCATGTATAATACTCCAGTAAAGAAATATGCAGACAACTGGAGTTTGATTATTGATCTTGAAAAGAGGATGATTCTTTGTGAAGATAAAATGGATACATTCAATGATAAGTTGAGGGAAAATGGTATCTTTGATGCTGCAAACTGTCTAACAGAAGGTATTCCTTTTATATCACTGTATTCACCATATATACTGTGTGTGTGTGTGTGTGTATATATATATGTGTGTGTGTGTGTGTGTGTGTGTGTGCCAGATCAAATAATACAATAAACAGTCAGAATCATAAGCAGAGAAGTGAAAATAAAATTTAAATTTTCACTTCTCTACTGCATTACATTTGTATCTAGGCCTACCTAGTTTATTTATTTTATATTTTTGATGGCTTATTATTATTACTGTTATTATTATTATTTTTTTTTTTTTATTAATTTTTACAAAACCACAATATCTTATGGAGTTGTATACATGATGTCTATTTTTTCTGGGTCTTTCTTTAATGTCATTTTTTATATAATGGCCCTTAAGTATGGTTCCTTGTTATTTTGTGCCGATTTTTTGCACGTGTCTCAAGATAGAAAAATTGAACTAGGCCTTCTTCAAGAGGCTTTTGATAACATCATCTCAAAAAAAGTTATGTGCTCCAATTATACAGTAAGTTTGAGAAAGTAAAAATAAATGTCTCATTCTAATCTTTAAAATATAAATGATATTTTAACTAAAATTTGACCATAGTTTGAGTGGTTTAACATTTAAAGAAGATGAGAGAAAAGACCCAATACGTAGTGTAGGCCAAGCTAGGCCTCTGTTTAATTCGCGATCGTACTTGATCTACCTATGGTTGAACAGGACAATAGAATGCTTAAGATGCATCAATATTTTATCAAAAAAGAATCGTAATCTTGGGAGTACATTGACATTACAGATCTTAAATGTGCTAAAATCTCACGTTTCTAGTCCCCGTTCTACAGCGGTCTTTATTTTTATTTTATTTCAACAATCTTTATTGAGGGTGGTCTATCCAGCCGAAGCTGATCATTAGAGACCCTCAATACACAAAGTAAAACAAAACAAAAAAGAGTACAAAGTAATATACTGTAAATAACAACCTTTCAATTCAAAATTAACATAATGAATTCGAGGCATGCAGACGCCATTTTGTCTACTACTACAGAACTTCATACTGTGGCTCTCCTGGATTCGCCCCTGGAATAAGAAA